TAATAATTAAAAATATTTTTTTGAGTAATTTGATTTTCTTTGTGGTAGAAGGTGATGAAGAATAAAGGGGCTGTTAGTGACTTAAGTGAAAATAGTGTAAATGTTGAGGTATTGTGCTGGAATTATATGCTGGAAATTTTAGTAATTAATTTGAAGTGATCATAATGGTGAAGGACCATTATGAATTAAATAAAAAAGTTGAGATGAATTCGAAAAGAATTCATACATAGTGGTCAAAATCTGAAGTTTGAAAATTTTGTGTGTCTTAGTGATGAATATGGATAAAAAGGGACTTCAATGGTCAATTTGAAGCTTTGAGATCAACATTTATATTGTAACAAGAAATTAGTATCGAATGAGTACGGGAATATTTTTAAGAATTTATTTTTCTATTGTGTACCTATGTTAGTAAGAATCTAACATGTGGTTTGAAATGTATATGTTTTGTAAAAGGTGTTCATTTAGATTATGATTGAAATCAAGATCAAGCAATATTAAAGCTAAGGATAAGCTTAAGGATGAATGTGCAATACTAAGGAAGGTTTACAAGTTAAGGACACCATGCAAGTGCATATTTAATTCATATTTATGTTATCGTGCAAACATTGGCTTGCGATGGGCCAGTAACGAAGTTGCTATGATAAGAAGTGACTCCTAAATGTTATGAAATTTTTTGATTTATGTATATATGTTTATTTGGTAAGCTAATAGAATTAATAAATAAGTTAAGGATGCAAATTAGTGAAATATGCATAGATTTGTGAGTTGAATAGTAAGTTTAGAAAGTCACCATAAATTCTAAAGAAATGATTGAAGATGAATTTTATACTTTTGGATTTGTATATAATTCTAGTTTCATTTAAAATAAACGACTACTGATTTCAAGAAGTATACAAAAATATATGATTTTTTAATCAATGATAGGCTAGAAACAGAACAGCAGATTCTGCTCAAAAACAACTTTTGTGTGTCGTCTTTAGAAATTCACTATAAATTGTACAAATTGAACGAGAAGAAGAGCCTTATAGGTTATATTTTTATTTGAGTCTAGTTTTCAGTGGTATAAGTGGAATAATTTTTAAGTGTATGGATTAATACATAATAATATTTCTTTGAAGGTAGTGCAAACTGTTAGAGTATGAAATTGTGATAAATTTATGGATCAAAGCAAATTGAAAGCAGAGGATTAAACTTAAAGCTTAGTAAGACTTATATTAGACTTATAAATAAAGTGTCAAAGTGAGTGCATTATATTTAATAATTTATTCTGACTTACGAAGACTTGTGATAAGTCAACCTCATATTATTATTTTAAATTATGAAATTTTAAGTATGATTTAATTATAAATATAGATTTGTTTTCATAATGCTTACATAGAGATTTATGAATGATTTTAAGGTATGAGATTACCCAATTCATTTTTATATGATATCTTGTGAAAAGATATTTGAATGAATTTTCAATTATAATATAAAAGAACTATCTATAATTTAAGTGATGGAATATTTCTTTAACGATTTCAAAAATGTTATTTGTATTTATTTTAGAGCATGAATTGCCCAAAGTATTTTACATGATAATTGTATTTTAATCATGGATGATTTCGGGTATGAACTGCCCAAGTTATGAATTTTATGATGATAAGTTGAAATTGATTCTTATATGTAAATGTTGATTAATATATGAATATAATATGATATGGAAGCACGTTGTATGTTGCATGGAGAGTCATAGGTGCACTTGGCATGTCAGGAAGTTGAGTAAAGTTCAAGTCAAGTTATGGTACATTTATGTACATTGCATATGGCACCGTTGGTGCATATGATATGATTTGCACTTGGAGTGCATCTATGATAAGTTATGACTGGCACCGTAAAGTGCCTAGTGTGCAGATTATGTATGACTCGTGTACCTTGCATTCTCTTACATATACATTGGGATATGAAAGTAAATGTGAAAGTTATGACAAGTATCTGGAAGAAAATAATATGAAAATGAATATGAAAGTGAAAGATGAAAATAAAATATGAAATGTTCAGAAATATATCTAAATGAAAAAGAATATAACATGATTATTATGTTTTGGCAGAATCATAGGATGATGATTTTCAAGTTTCTGATGAGGAAAAGTAGCTTGAATAAGTCGGTTTGAATATTTAATGGTTTTATTTGACTTCAAGTTTAATTTCTTAAATTTTTATAATATTATTAAGTTGTTTTATATTTGATATCACCTTAGTTTGTTTATAATGTCTCACTAAGTGTATACTTAGCATGTGATGATTTTCACGCGTAGGATAAGAAGAGCAAGTGAAGTAAGGAGTGGAGCTCGGCATCGATCAACAAAGAATAATTACAGGTATCAGTAATGACATCCTACTCTTTTAAATCTTCCAGATGGCATGTATACGAATAAGAAATGTTTGAGATATATTATTATGAATATAAATATGAAACTAAGTTTTTTGTTTTATATAAAAAGTTATATTTTATTAGAATAAATAAATACTTTAAATTATATTGTTATTAGGCGGTTTACTTTATGATAGGAAACAATATAGAACTGTCTAGTTGTTGTGTGACACTGATATTGATTTTGATATTTAAATATTATAAAATAATTTTACGTGATTATATTATTCTATTGGAAGGATTAAATTGGATAAGTTTTTTAAAAAAGTTAATTTTGTACTAGTTGTCAACTATAATATGTTTGTAAATGATATGTGACATCTTTGACTCGTATTCGGGTATGTATACGGGTTAAGGGTGTTACAGTTGGGCTGAGTGAGTATTGATACTGATGTTATAGTATCGATACTACTATACAACTGTATCAATACTTCTTCGGGTATTGCTACTATTTTTGCTTATTGGAATTTAAACACATTTGAAACCAAAAGGCATTATTGGTACTGCCATGAGAGTATGTATACCTCTCTTACTTTTGGCATTGATACTGGAAGAACAATATCGATAGTGTTCATGTGATATCGATGCTGTAAGAATAGTATCAGTAGTTCATATCCAGAAAAATTAATTTGTCTTAAAATTCAAATTTTATAGACATTGAATTATTTTTAAAAACCATCAATAAATTCAATTAAGTCCAAAAACATTTTACCCATAAAATTTTTATATCAAAATAGGTTCAACAATCTCTCCTTTTTTGATATAACAAAATATTTGAAAAATAGTTTTGGTAAAATTCCCTCTTAACAAAAATTCCATGAAAAAGAAATATTTTGGAAAATATTAAAGTTCATCATTTTTATTCTTCAAATTAAATATTTCAAACTTATTCTTTTCCTCATTTTTGTTATATCAAAAATAATTCAAACATTTATGTTTAAAAATAACAATGGAGAGTAAGTAGAATTTTTTAACAAAAAATCATTTAAAAAATTCTTTTAAAAGTTCCCCCTCAACAAGTGTATTCCAAAAAAAACAACTTTAAAGAACTTGGCACTTAAAAACTATTGAATTTCAACATAGATGAAGAAACAAGTTAGTAACATATGAAATTCAATATATCCAATTCACTTCTACTTTATGCAATATTAACATTAGTCATTAAAGTTTATATGCATAAAGCATTCTAAAAATGTTATGCATTTGAAATGTTATCAATTGTTAGAGAAATATCATTTGTAATAAAAAGGTACATGCATAAACATTCCATTTAAGTTTAAGGTAAAAAATAAACCATTAAGAATAAATTTGAACAAAAATCATTATGATGAACAAAAAATATTAAAAACTTTAAAACAATGTTCACCATAACACATTTTTTATGTACATGAGTTGGAAAAGAAACATACAATCATTTATGTTCAAAGACTCATGCATGCATAAAACAAATATGCAACCAATTAAGCAAAATCAAAAACATTAAGTTTAGAGGTTACCAATTCCTCATCATGTCTGGCTAAAGCATTTTAATTTCTTCATTTTTTTCAAATTGCTCTCATACTCCTACAAAAGACATTTATTTCGGTTTCAGTATCCAAATTTCTTTGGATCATTGTTTGTAGTGCTAATGTCCTTTGTTCCCTTAGGAACCCATACTTTCCTAATTTTAAAAGGTTTTCTAAGTTTTAAAGGACAATTATGTCCCATGTGATCATGAAAATGGCAATCTGAGCATTTTGTCATTTTTAAACATGATGAATTGTTTTGAGGAATTAATTTATTTTCTTTTGTTAAGCTTCAAGTTTAACTTTCAAATCAAATTTTTCTTTTTCTAAATCATTGATTTTTATTTTTGAAAGCTCAAAAATAGTTTTAAAATTTCATTTTGTTATTCAAAAATCAAATTTTGCTTTCAAAATCAAATCATTTTCAATTTTAAAATTTGAAATTAAAATGGTCTCAAATTCCAAATACAAATTCAACATAGGCATCTTATAACTATTTAAATGAATAAGAATTTAAATCACAAGAATTATAAGTTATTTTCTAATCATCTTCGATAGCCATGAGACATAGTTTGACTACTTCATCTTCATCATTGGAGTTATCTTCATCACTACAAGCAACCATAAATGTTTTTTCTTGTTTGATCCCTTATTCTTTAAGAGATGACAATCATACTTGACATGTCTCATTCTTTGGCATTCAAAGCATACCAGGGGGACCCTTCTTCTTGCTCAATTCATACTTCACTTCCTTTTCTTTGGAAGACATGAATATTGTGAATCTTTTGAAAAGCTTGGTCATCTCTTCATTTTCATCCGCCTCTTCATTTGAGTCTTGATTACTTTCATTGGTGGATTTGAAGGTGATTTCTGCCTCCTTTTTCTTATTCTTATCTTCTTCTTCTTTCTTCTTTTAGAGTTCACTTCATGAGTGAGTAAAGAACCGATGAGCTCATCGAGGGTGTAAAATTCCAAATCCTTGGCTTCTTCAATGGCAGTTGCTTTGCCTTCCCAAGATGTAAGTAATGAGGCAAGCATTTTTCTCATTACTTCTACATTAGGATAAACCTTCCCAAAGTTCTTCAATTCATTGATGAATAAGTGAACCGATCAGACATCTTCTTAGTGTCCTCATCGGGCTTCATCTTGAAGTTATTATAGTTGAGAGTAAGGATACCAATCTTTGACTTCTTCACTTGGCTTGTTCTTTCATGGGCCACCTCCAACTTGTCCCATATATCCTTAGTGTTAGAGCATGAAAATACTCTACTATATTCATCCAAGACAAGTGCACAATAAAGGATGTGTATGGCTTTAACATTGAGTTGGGCAAGCTTCATATATTCACTTGTCCATTTCAATCGATTCCTTGAAGGAACGAGAGAACCGTCGATTATGGCATCCAAAAGCGCAAGGTTAATAGCTTTGATGAACAACATCGTCCAATTCTTCCAATAGGGATAATTTTCTCCATTGAAGTAGGATGGCCTAGTGATGAAGTGCTAATGTTTAAGGTAGTACGTGTTATATGTTAAAGTCATCTTCTCGGTTGAAAAAGAAATTGATAGAGAGATTCAAGGAACCTCACAGGGTTGTTAATTGTGACTCGATTTGATACCAATAGTTAAGATTCTTTTTGCTCTATCGATCAACCAAAAATATGCCAAGAGATAGTGAATTGGCCAAATAAAAAAAATTAGGGATATGGAGAGAAAGGATAAGAAATTAAGGCACAAAGATTTGAAGTGATTCAATTTCCTCAATGAAGTCTAAATCCATTACCTTAGCTCCAAACTAGGGATTTCTAACAAATTCACTAATTTGTTCTTTCTTTTTCTAGGTTCAAGAGTAACTTTTATAGATCCATATCTTTTCAATGGCTAAGATAGAACCAAAACCCTATTTACAAAAGAGTAAATCAAAGCAAACAAGAAAACCTCTAAAAGGTAGGTATTTACAAAGTTTAGCTCATAAAAACACTCTATGCACAAAAGAAAGGGGAAAATAAGATTGAAAGAGCTTTTCTCTTGATGTGGATTGCTTGGATAGATTTTGTAACCTTTTTCAAGTGTCATCGACTTGTTTTTATATGTTGGAATGTGTTTATGACCGTTTTTAGTTATTGGGGACATTTTGGAGTTGTTGGGGACATTTTGGAGCAATTGGGGATTAATTTTCTATAAAAATAAACTACCCAACTTAGAGAGTATCGATATTCGAGTGACGAGTATCGGTATTGCCTTTAAGAAACTAGTCAATTTTTACCATTGAGTATCGACACTATTTTTGTTTATTGAAATCTGAATACATTTGAAACCAAAAGGTAGTATTGGTACTGTCATGAGAGTATCGATACCTCTCTTACTTTTAGTATCGATATTGCAAGAACAATATCGATATTATTCATTTGTTATTGATATTGTAAGAATAAGAACAATATTGGTACTTCTTACCTCAAAAAACTGATTTGTGTTCAAATTCAAGTTTTATGGACTTTGAATTATTTTTTAAAACCTTGAATAAATTCAATCAAGTCCAAAAAAAATTTTCCCTTGAATTTGTTATATCAAAATAGGTTCGACACTTTATATTATAAGAATGTAAAGGAAATTTATGAAACTTAAGGACTTACTTTATGATATTATTTTTTTAAGGTGGTTACAAGTCTCCGTACCACTCTCTAGTAGATCCTGGTCATCCTTATACAGCTCAACTTGATTTTATATATTCGATTTGAGATAAAGATTAGTGTAGTTAAATGAATAGTCAAATGTTTTGTTTAAGTATGTACTATTTTAGTACTCGTGCAGTATTACATTGTTATCATGTTAGGTCTCTATTCTGCAGGATCTGGTACTTCTGACCGTAGGAAACATAAAGTTTGACTAGTATCATTTAACTGGTGTAGGTGTGTTCCTTGACCTAAATCATATGTTTACTTTTTATATTGTGATATGTTTTTCTATTACATATATTATGTTGGTATATTTGATTCCATAATAATGTTGTATTATGCTTGTCCTATTGGTTGGTTTAAATTTATGTATTGAGATTATATAAAGAAGTCTTGGGATCCTTTTTAGAGGATACATCCCCATCGTGTTTCCTGATTTCTATTAAGTTTCTCTTCAGAGGATAACTCGAGATTCTCTTTGGAGGGTACATTCACATTATGTATCCTTATTTCTGTTGAGTTCCTCTTCATAGGTTAACTCCGATTTCTCCTCGAAGAATAATGTCTATATCCTGATTTTTGTTTTCTGTTCTAGGCCTATCTTCGAATGGCTCATGTTTCTCTTTGAAAGATGATGTGCTCATTCTGTTACTCAGAATAAAAGGTAAGGTAGTCGACGTTTGTGGTGATATATTGATAGTAAAATATATGAATTTTATTATTGTCTAATTATTATGTTGTGTATTACAATATGCTTGGATTATCTACTTTTCAATATTTTGGTCTGATTGCACTTAATGGGCACACTAACCTTTGTATCTCACTCTATTTTTGTCTTTCATTTTTAGATTGCCAGATGTAGGATCGGTTTGACTATCGAAAGTGTAGTCTCGATTTTATATTGTACGAGGGTAAACATTTATTTTCAACCATCTTTGACTGTGGCATGAGTTTATTTATGATAACAAATTTGATAAATATTTTCCAAAACAATTTATCAACTTTCGTTGGTCACTACACTGTTTATTGTGACTTCCATGATCTAGGTATAGTTTCTAGGTTGTGTCTAGGGTTACATAAATGGTGAAATTCAATACATTTTTAAAAAAAAATATTTTTTTAAATTTTATTTGAAATCCTTACTTAAAAACTAAAAAAAATTAAAAGAAAATTTTGTTCGCAATTGATAAACCAAAGAAGATATTTTTATTAATTTAAAATATCACATCATCCCTTAATGATACTTAATGATCGATGCTTATATTTTTAACAAAATCTAAAGTTTAATTCTTATTTTATAACTTTTGAAAAGTTTAATAACTAAAAAGATCATTTTATCATAGTATAATGATTAATTGTGTTGTGTTTAGTTTAAATGAATATATATTGTAATAGCATAAGAAAAATTTTAAATGCTTCGATACATTTTTTTTTAAAAATTGTAAAGCTCTAAACATATACTAACATTTAATTATCCCAGATTATTTGAAAAAAATGTAAAGCTACTTGAATGCTTCTTTAATGAATAAATTTTATTTTATTTTAAGCGTATAAAAAACCAAAATAAGAATATTAATAAAATGAACAATTATATATATGCCGAAGAATTTATTTATATCAGTGTAAAAATTAAAACAGATCTATATATCTTCACTAAGCGATTTGCTCCACGAACTTTTTCGACAGAATCAAGACATGATTCATATCACAAACTCTAACAACTATCGTTTTGATTGAGAATACCTTTTACATATATATATATATATATATATATATATATATATATATATATATATATATATATATATATATATATTAAACTATATCACTTCTAATTTATTAAGAACTCGACATGCTAGGGTTAATTTTGGAATTATGTACCAGGGTTTTCTATTATAAATAGAGATGTAACCTAAACCTATTATCATTGAATAAAAATTTTCTAGCGCCGCCTAGGCACCGAGGACGTAAGCACATTGCCGAACCTCGTTAAAATTCTTGTGTTCTTTCGTTTACTTTGCCCGATTTATCAACAAGAACATATAAGATACAATTTGAATTATTAAATTAGTAATTATACAAAAAAATTATAGAAATGTTTAAAACTATTTAATTATACACTTGTTACAGTTTGACTCGAATTTAAAGTAACACAAATTAATTAATATTGAAATTTGGGAAAGTAAGAATTCTAGTTTGATTAAAAGTAGATAACTTTATTAAAGTAGATTTCTACTTTATTTAGTTTGCCTTTATAATCAAGTATATATCCTAGTAAATAGATACTAAGGGTAAAGTGTTAGATATCAAGGTTTTTATTTCTCTAAAATCATCTTGTATTTTCTTCCTTCATGTAAGTGAAAATTTTCTCCTCTGCCCGTGGTTTTTCTCTTTTGGGTTTTCCACGCAAATCTTGATTTTTTTGTTTTTGTTTTCTTTTTCGGTCATATTTATTTGTTTATCGATAATTGTTCCCATATTATAACAAATTGCTATCAAGCTTCAGGTTTAAGACTATGACAACAATGAAGTATGATATTCTGTTATTGCATCGAAACATCAAGTCCTCGTTATAGCAGGTGAAGATTCGAGATGCTCTTGTACAGTTAGATCTCAACAATGCAATAGAATGATTTAATGAGAAATCGGCAACACAATGGACGAATGAAAAAAAAAGGTGTAAGGATTGTAATGTCCTTTCTCAGCTTCATTTACAATTAACAAATCAAATTTTGTAGAATGTGTTGAAAGGGAAAAAAATTGCCTCTTTGCGGGAAAAATTGGAGCAACTATGCATGCAAAAATCATTGACCAACAAGTTGCACTTAAAACATCATCTTTATTCGCTCGAGTTGGGGGAAGATTCGTCTCTTGAAAAGCACCTAACTACATTCAAGGAAATTGCCTCTGATTTAGAAACTTTAGAATTGAAGCATAACAAAGAAGACTTAGGATTGATCTCCTATGTTCACTACCTCCTTCCTACTCATCTTTTAGAGAAATAATCATGTACACTCACGAAACACTCACTCTTGGAGAAGTGTACGATGGCCTACACTCGTTTGACAAGATGCAACATCTTGTATCTGGTTTCGAGCCCTGAACAAATGGTCTTGTGGTGTATGGATCGACTAGCTCAGACCATGGAAGAAAAGGTGAGCATTCTTCTGGTAGTATTGGAAGAGGAATATCAAAATCTTCCAACCGAGGTAAAACTTGTCAATTTTTTAAAAAGAAAGGTCATGTTAAATCGGAGTGTTACAAGTTACACAATAAATTAAAAGAGAAGCTAAAGAGCAATACTCTGAAAAATCTGGTGAGGCTGATGTATCAGAGAAGTGCAGTGGCGGGAACTCCTGTTGCTGCTGATGACAACACTATAACAAGTGATGAGTGGATACTTAATTCAGGTAACAATTTTCATATGAGTCTTAATTGCAACTGGTTTGCTACGTATAAAATTGTATCTACATGCGATATATTTTTGGGAATAATGTCCATTGTAAAGTCGCAGGTATCAGCACAATCAAGATTAAGATGTTTGAAGAGATTGTTCAAACACTTGGTAATATGAGACTTGTTCCAGATTTAAGCATAAATCTAATTTCCTTAGGTAAAGGGTACAAGTTCTCCAATGAAAGTGGAGCTATGAGAATTTGCAAAGGCTCTCTTGTTGTGATGAAAGGGCAGAGAAAGACTACCAAATTTTATGTTATACAAGGTTCAACAGTTTTAGATAATGCAACGGATATTCCTCCTTTGTGT